AACGTATTTGACGTTTTCATAAACCCCTCTGTTTCGCAAGACCTGCAAGGAGAGAAAGCAAGAGCCCCATGAGCTCCTGCCCACGGGGTGAGCAGGGAAAGCAGCAGGGGCTGGCAAAAAGAGCACCCAGGATGAACAGAAATCCCCACAGCCAATGACTGGGCACACGGTTCTCTCAAACTGGTCTTTTGCAGGTTCACAGGTAAAACCCCATCAAGGCATGGGCACCTGCATCTTAAGATTTCATTTTAAATGTCTATCTCTGGCTACCTCAACTTTCAAGAAATCCCAGGGCCTGGAGACCTGGGACCGGCTCGAGAGCCTGCAAAAAGCTTCACATAGCTCAGAAGCATAAGCAGCACCCACGGGCAGCAGAGGCTCAGGTGCTGGTGACAGTGCTCTGAAAGCTGTCAGACACATAGATGAGAAGCTCCCCAGGGCATCCCCTGCATGGAGCAAGGATATGGCTGTATACTTATGCACCCCAGAGACCTTTTAACAACACGCGGGAAGGCTACAAACAGCTTTTAAGATCAGCTCTCAAAGTCAGACAGGTCAGTTTTGGTCCTGGCAGAAGGAAAATCTTGCAGCTGTTGTAAAAACTTAACTCAGGTTTGAAGTATTTCACTGCCATGAACAACCTTCTGGTCTCCACCAGGAGGGGAACAAGTTGTTTGCAAGGGCTCCCAGCATAGACGCTAGAGCCTGCAAAGACCCCCGTGTGCTTTGTCCCAGATATAATTTTATGTCAAGAGCAATGTGGCTGCAGGAGGGAGAGCAGGGAGCACAGGGGCTCACGGAGATGCTGCAGGCAGCCCCCCAGGGCTGGAGACCCAGTGGCCAGCCACCAAAGCCCTCAGGCAAGTAGCCAATATGCTGAAAACTATGACACAAGAGCCACCAGCTGAAAGCTGAGACACAGTCACACTCCAGGCAAGTCAGGGGGATTTACTTACCGAATCAACAGTTTCATGTTGTGAGAACCCCACGGGGGCAATGCCATAGATGCACACAGCGAGGATGGTGATGAGTGAATGGACAAAAGTGACCCAGTAAGTGAAGAAAGGCCTGGATGGAGGGAAAGGGAAAAGATCAGAGGCAGAAACCCAGGGATATTACATCTATTCACAGAACACAGGAGAAAAGCTGCTGTTTTTCCCCAGGGACCTTGGCAAAATCTGGGGTACAAGGCCAGGACCACATAGGGATGCACAAGACTGGAGGCAATGACTTAAGGTCTTGCTGGCAGACAGACCCTGTTTTCTCTGACCCCCCATTACACTGGGCAAGACACTAACACGGGGCAAGACCCTCTTTCCCAAGAAAACATCCATGAGAACACATAAGCCTGATGTCAAAGTGTGCTGCATGTCTGAAATAATGACTTTAGGGGAACGACCAGAGGCAGGGATACCTCAGCCATCCTGTTCATCACAGGACATTGGTGGTGGGGCAGCTATCTGCAGTCCCTCCAGGTAGTAGAGATACAGATACCCAAAGCAATGTGATAAGCAGGGTAAGCTCCCAGTGCACAGTGATGCTAACATGATGCTAACACGCAGCTGTCTGCTGCAGTGTGCACTGTACTTCAGGGATACAGACTCAGGGGTCTTAGCAACAGGTTTCACCCAACTACCCCAAGGCAGTGACCTAAGTCACCAAGGGGCAACAGCAATCACTCCCTCGCTAGTTTTGTTGGGACCCCTTCTATGACTGCAGCTCTCACCTGTGGTCATCCATATCCTCAATCTGCCGCTTGACATAGCTGTCGATGCGCTTGCGGTATGTACGGTTTGTCAGCTTCCCCACCATTCCCAGGCCATACGGCCTTTTCTCCTTGGCAAAGAGCTTCCTGACAGGGACAGCGATGCGTTGGCCACGCTTCTGTGGGCTGACACTGACCACCTCCTGCCGCAAGCGGACCTTGGGCTGTGCCAGGGCCCCATCCTTTTGCTTCCTCCAGCCTCGCTCCAGTGGGCTGAAATAAGAAGTGGAACAGCAATGGTTACCTTCTGCATGGCACAGCAATGGGGAACAGCCCTTCCCTGGTCTTTGGTGGCAGCGGACCCTCTGTCTGTAGCACCACACCTGGGCTGAGCTGCAGCTGATGGAAGATACGGTGCCCTGAAGCAGAAACTGTATTTCCAAGTGTTAACGCAGCGCCAGTTGGTGAAAGCGCAGGACTACACGCAGAAGGTGGCACAAGGCATTTGTGCCAAACTAAGCCCCAATGAGGAGGAGTTCTCAAGGCTTTAAAGAAGTGTTTCAGCAACAGGCTAAAATGGGGAGGCTGCAGCCAGGCACATCTGCAGCCTCATGCATGTCTATTTTTTCCTCTACTTCATTCCTCTTACTCTGCTCTCTGCTACGAAATGGAAGTGTAGTTTAGCCCAGCAGTGGAAATCCCCACCCTTAAAGCACTTTACTGTGGTTGGACTGCCAAGTCAAACCCCCATGCCCACCAAATCGGGCAAAGGAGGAGAGCAGGAATCCAAGCAGCTTCCCAGACCAAGCAAGTGACACTGTCACATGCTGTGCCAGTTACCTCTCATGATCTGTCTGCCGTTCCTCCCTTTATTTGCACTGATGCATGCATATTTCAGGAGGAGGACAAAACCAGGCTTCACCAACACAACAAAAATCCCAAGCATCACTGTCTAAAGGAAGGCTTTTTTACCAAAATAGAGTACGCGATGACATTGCACAAGCTACTGGTGAATAGTACCTGCTTTGTAAATCTCCATCATATTCAGATGGTTTTTTATTTCTTTGCTCTTCAGCAGTCTGGAGGGCAGGTCTGCAGCATTCAGACCCTGACAACAAAAAAACTACCTACTGTTTCACCCTTGCTCACTGCCTAGCCCTGTAGTAGGCATGTCCCTGGTGTGCGCTCTAGGCTAGTTTACCTCCTCTGGCTTCCTCAGTGACCCCCTCTGCATAAAGACAACGATGTCAGAAGCGGGCAGAGAAACCAGCTGACAAACTTGTTTCTGAAAGATCACCAGAGCATCTTGGAGATATTACAACAGCTCTGAAGTATGGACAAGCAACAGGATGAGGGAGAATCTAAACCTCTTTAGCCAAAAACATTGCTGCGAAGCTTCAGCTGTTTTCAATATTGCACCTTGCAGAAGATGCATTTTCATACAGCTGAAAGTCCCAACTTCCCCTTGGGAAGTCCTTCTCCAACCGGAAGTGCAGATTCCACTGCAGCCTGCTCTTGCCCCAAGAGTTCAAGTGGTTTCTATGTTACGGACGTGCTGTTTGCCAGTATTTCCGGTGTTGGGCTATCAGCCTATGCCAAAATAAACACCTGGCCACCTAAAAGGACACCGACTATGATTCTGATAACAGTTCTCTGAAGTGTGAAAGAAATGTATTTTCCTCAATAAAGAAAACTATTTAAGCAGACCCAAATGAAGCCAAGAAGACTGAGACCGTCTCAGAGGAATGACAAACTCCCAACGTTTGCTGTTTCCACTTATGTTAAAACCGAGTCAAGTTCTTGGAAACACTTGAAGGGAAAGCGCCGACACAGCAAGATGGGCCGTGAGCAGCAGAACCACAACAAGGACCTCCCTGTCTGCTCTGTGTTCACACCCAGCGGAGCTCTCTGGTGGGGTGAGCTGCCAGCTAATCTAGAACTGACTCGGAAACGACACAGAGCAATTACGCAGTACCAGTTACTCAGGTGGAAAAAATCTAGGCATACAGTACCGTACCACCCACATATTTGTAGGGCTCTCAGCATCAGCGCCACACCTTTCTCTCGTTTCAAGTGAGGAATGTAGCCCAGCTCGACACTCAGCAATGCTTCACACTGCTCCTTGGAGCGGGACAACAGTTCCTGGTGACTGTGGCAATGGCAACAGCCTTCTCGTCTTTGCTACATTCATTCTCCATAGCTGAAGGCTGGGCCTCCAGCATCCTCACAGCTGATTTTGTTTCCTCAAGGCACAGTCTCCGAAACACATCACGTGAGGCTGGATGTTGCTGGAGAGACTGCAGAGGTGGCCTCAGAGTCACCTTTCACGTGCATGGGTAGCTGGGGCAGGAGGTCTTAAGCTACATTTAAAGAAAAACCCATCACTGTGCTGCTCTTTGAGCTCTGCACCAAGCACCCACAGCACTCAGATCCTGGCTTCCTCCGTGCAGGAGGTCCCACTCTGAATGGGTTGGCCACACTTTGGCAGCTTCCAGGAAGATACTCACAGTAGCAAGTGGCTTCTTTCAAGCTCGGTTTTGTCCAAGGCACCTCCTGTGAGATCTGTCTGATCCAGAGGTTTCACCTCAGCATCTTTGATTGCAGCTTCTGATGGTGACTCGAACACTTCGTCTGGATAAGTAGAGAGCTCCTCATGAAGGACTCCTTCCTGGGCAGAGAAACAGAATTCCCATCAGAAGAAGCCAGCATCACATTTGAGACACCAGCCATGGCAGAAAGCAGTGCTGCTCTCTGCAACACACAGTCCTGCCTGACCTAGAGTCTTGCACTGCCTCTGGGGCCGGTACCACGCCAGAGCCCTGCCCCTCACCCGAGCAAAGAAAGAAGTGTCGAGCTCATCTGGAAAATCCACTGTGTCCTCCTCCAGGAAACTCGCTGGGGTGAAGCTGCGCCGCTGAGCTCTCCTCAGGGTGCTGTCCTTCACAGAGCGTCCCTGTAACCAGAGAAAGTGGCATCAAGTCACTGCCAGAAACCTGAACCCTAGGCACATGCAGGGCCGCCCCAGCCAGCGCACAGGCAGCCCAAGTGCTGAGTTGGTTCACACTTGTGTGTGGAGCACAGCAGACCTGCTGATGTGTGACACCCTCCTGGTGAGACCCACAAATGTTACCCCACTTCTTAATCTACAGTGCCCATCTCCCATGCAGGTGAGGCTTGCAACATGCTCCTCTGCCACGTATTGTACAGTGTCTCTGACCAAACCGCAGTGATGGGTGGTATTGGACACAGCAAAAAGGTCACTGCGCCCAGGAAAGCGGACACATGGCAGGATGAAGAGACTTGCATAGTAAAAGCCTCAGGCACTTCTGCTCTTCCATGACTGGTGACCAGGTACAGATGGGCTGCCCAGAGGTCCAGGACCTGCTGGAACTCTCTGAGGCTGCTGGCATCAAAGCTGGCAGGCCAATAAAGGGAAAGCAAGACCTCTACCAAAACCCAGCCATCATCCCTGCTTATTGCAAATCCTGCCTCCTAGACACATGGATGAAATAGAACAGGAGATGGCTTGGCTTCTTGCCCTCCACCACTGCTCTCCCCACCTTCTCTGCTTAGCAGCTCCTTCCTTCTCACAAGGCAGAGCCCCATCCTGCTGCCAGATCGGTCCCTGCCCTCCCACAGACAGTACCTTCACCAAAGCCGCAGCTGCTCGGAAACTCATTTTGGCAACAGATTCCCGTTTCCGCCGTCGTGGGAGGCGATTGAACCCTGAGCGCGAGCTGGTGAAGGAGCAGAGCGATGTGGCGCCTGGCGTGATCGGTGTGTGCGGGATGCTGCAGCCATCATTGTCGTCAGCCATCCGGAAAGCTCGGCCACGGGCCAAGGGGTCTATGATCTATGGAGAGAAGCAGCCCATCAGTCCATTCACTCCCAAACTCTTCCCTACCAAGTTCTCCTCCCTCCAAGCAAACATCTTGAGACCATGACAGTGGCCTTGCTCCTGGGACTGACCAAGAACCAGGCTGGGTGGACCAACAAGCAATTCCTACAATAGGGAGATATGCAATAACATGTTGCAAGCTAAGCCCTAGTTGTAAGCCTCAAACCTAAGTCCTCGAACCTCTCCCCTTGCTTCCCCCCCGTGGTTCTTTCCTTTTTCTTTTGTCGGGATTGACTATTTTCACCCAGAATGTTCCTGATGTTCACAGGAGACTCCAAACCTCCTTCAGCCCTTCCTAAGCTCTTGGTTTCATTCATCTCATGTGCCAGTGAGCTCTGCAGTCAGAGGAATGTGCTGTCTAAACAGGAGTTTGAGAAATCCCTGAAAACAGCCACGCTCTTTCTCTAGCTAGTTTCCTTTCTGATGCTGGACAGCCCATGACTTAAACAGTATCCTGTTGAAGCTTAACTGTATATTTACATCTGCTTCCATTAATTAAGTTATAACAGCTGGAAAAAGCAGGCAAGCTTCCAGGAGCTGCAAGCCCTTCTTTGGGACTCTCCAGGCCAAAGCTCTCGCTTCTTCCAAACACACGAATCAACCTAATGAAAATATTGCCTTCAGCTACAAACCTTGCCTCTGTCCTTACATCATCACAGCTGTGGTTTCCATAAGACTTCTATGCTTTATCCTAATGTTTTACGAGCTTTTTTTAATCCACAGTTGCACACTCAACAGGAAGCTTTACAGGCTTACACCTACTGATACCATGTTCTGATTTAACGTAGCCCACACAGAGCCCAACAATATTTCTGAGTCTCCCATGACCAAAGACTAACTGCAAGACACTATAGCAAGCAAGGAAACAGGCAAGAGCACAACAAGGTGAAACTCGATTGAAAGATGAACAATATTCTTCTCTGCTTCAGCGATGCAGCCAGGCTTCAGGCAGCAGACTAACCTGCTTTGGAAGGAATTTGTTTCCCCACTTGCCCAGGTTGCAGTCGTGCTCACTAATGCACAGCAATCAACCACATCGGTTACTGTCGCTGAATGGGGCAAAGGGAAGAGCTGGGATATTGTGATTAGTTCTGAAGTGCTGGTAACTGGGTGTGCTTGACTGGGTCTTGTCCCCTGGGGTCACACTTGAAGGCAGCGCGTAGGGAGCTACCACACGCCGTCTGCAGGCACTCACAACCATTTCTGAGGACCTGTGAGCAGAGCTGTAGTACTGCTGATGCAAGAGACGCTTTTCAAAGTCCGAAAACATAATCAGGTTTCTATGAGGACAGTAGCTGTGCTACTGCCTGCATTCTGCTTGGGACAAGGATCCACTAGGCAACTGTCCTGAGTGGTACCAGGCCTGTTACTCTGTGTTTGGGTCCAGGATACTGGCCACTCTCTGTACGATAGAATTTTGTCTTTGCAAAATGGCAGAAAAAAAGCCCAAGCTGAGAGCTCTTGGACATGCTGCACACATCTAATCACCACCATAGTCACACCATGACAAACACAGCTCTGAGCCTATCACCGAAACAGCTGAGGGATCTCAGCCAACGGGACCAGAGAGAGGCTGCTGAAGGAGGGAGTCTGCCAAACTGCATCTGAGACTTGAGAAGTGTCTGAGCACGAAGCCCAGACATGTTCAGGCAGAACTAAGCCCACAGATAGGTCACGGCTGCCAAAGTGGTAAAGACACTGTGCAGGAAACTCACACTGGCCTTGACTCTGTCCCAGGTTACTCACCTTCTGCATGCCCAGCTGGCAGGGTCCAACATAGAGCGGAGGAGGAGTCTCTGTGCTTGTTAGAGAAATATTGTCCTGACTGGGCAAGTCCATTTCCCGGATGACCTGAGGTTTCAGCTTCCCATACCGCAGGCTGCAGTGGCGGAGGCTCTTTCTCTGCCATTTCTGAGTAGCGTCGCTGTCTTTGCTCACCCCAAACCAGTCTGCTGTGCCTCTGAAAGATGCCAGCAAAGAAGCATTATCTTTGCTTGGACTATGCACGTGAAAAGGCAAAACCCCTGGCGGTCACTTCCAACCCACCCCAATTCAGAGACAGGCACAACTCTTCCCCATGAGCATCTCGCAGCCTGTCCTCAGCTGGTTTTAGCAACCTGGAAGATGCTGGCCAGAACTGTTCAACTATCAACAGCATTCTGTCTCTTAAGACAGAAGAAAAATGGCAGGAGAGATTCACTATGTGTAAAGGACAGTTTGTTCTGGGTTTTTCTAAAGAGATGGAACAGAAATTCAGAAAAGAACTTGGTGAAAGGTGGTGGGGTTTTTTTCCTTTAAAAAACATCTCTTGAAAACACTTACCGTCTTCAGGCCAGCTCTAGGTCCCCATTATGGGACTGTACTGTTTCACGGCTCTCCCAAGGGCCACCAGAATTCACTGTTCTCTCCCAGCCTCCCCCGACACTCCCAAGATATCCCTAAATTCTCCATCTTGTGCTGCAGATTTCTATCCTCCTCAAAGGTAACATTAATGGCAAAAGTTTGCTGTGGTCCTCTCTCTGCTAAAGCAGGCACAAACAGTCCTAAGCTGCTGGTTGCAGAAGTAGGAGCACAAGGTTGCAACAACGAGGTAGGTTTGCTGCCAAGTGGCTGCTGTCACTGAAGAGCAGTGGATCAGAAGCAAAATCCCAAGAAAGGCAGAGAGGGATCAGGGTAAGTCGGACTAACAACCTACCTCAAATACTGCAGGACAGCTGGTACCCTAAACCTACAAAGACCATCGCAGCCCTGCCAAGCCTTTCCCACTTAGGTTAATCCTTCTTCAGAAGATGACAAGCTGTGTCAGCCTACAGTTGTCCGGCCCAGGTGTCTAAACGGGAAAGTCCTTTTAAGCCAAACCCAAAACCCCGGCCTCAGAGCCCCTGCTCAGGGGCAGGATTTCCAGCTGCTGAGAAGCAAAACCTCACAGATCACAAAGGGAGTATTAAAACATACACTGGAGTAAAGGCTGGGTTAAATCTCGAGTTAGGTCACACAGGGGAACTGAGTAATCACATTGGAGACAGGAAACTAGTCCTGTGTTTTGCACCCTACCGAGCAAAGATACCATCAACCAACAGGTGAAAGTGCCCTGCCACCATGTAAAAACATGCAAATTTGAAAACCACAGCCTTTCCAGCTAAAACCTCCAGATGCAAACCACCATGAACTGCCCTCAGCCTTCCCCATTCTCCCAACGACCCAGAACAGACCCTTCAGCCGATGGGAGGTCACGTGGGCCGTTGCTAGATCTCACTGACCCAAATGCCTCCACAAATGACTCCAGCAAGTCAACAGAGGCCAGACCTCAGAGACAGAGCTACCTGCATGTCTCAGAGCACTGCTCTGCTCCCACAGACCAACAACTCATCAGAGCAATCTTGTCTCTGTTCAGAGGGGACAGACCTTAGGGTCAGCACCTGGCCTGACAGACCCAAACCAAGCCTAAGCGTAGAGGTAACGCTCTGGCTGTGCAGATGCACAGGCACAACACATGCCACAAAACAGTCTTACAACTCAAAAGGCTTCTCATAGACTGCCGTAACCAATATTTCAACACCAAGGTGACCTTGGGTGACAAGCCCATATGCAGAGCCACTCCTCAAAGGGAGAGGACTGAGGGTTGTTTGTGCCCACATGAGGCTGCTGATGAACGGCCCATTGTGCCAACAGCAGCACCTCAGAGCACTCTGAAACTGTGCTCCCGCTAGCCTGGAAGGACAAGCGCCACCACAGCTGTTTTGCACTGTGAGGGCCACTCCTGAACTGCCGGAGACCACTGCTGGGCCAGGGCAAAGAACTGTCCTACTCTCTGATCATAGTCAAGATAGTCCAGGAGAGTTGACTACAGAGTTTAGGGTATCTGGAGCACCCTGGGAAGATGCTGAACGCCTCTGTCCAGCTGAGGAGCCCCTGCAACAAACCAACATCGGAGGTCAGCTCTCGCTCTTCTATCGTGTTGAGCTAAAAGCCCAAGACCAAATGCAAGCAGTCGCCAAAGGTGGACATAGTGCCAGAACAGCATCTGGCCAAGGGTAGCAGTGAGGAAGGTAGGACAGGAATGGACTCCTGGGCCTTAGGTCCCATCCTTGCCACGCATAAAGTCTGCCTGATTTAAAAGTTTACTGAGCTCCAATCTCAGAGTGGTGGTTGATGGGCCGTTGTGCCCTGGACTCCTGGAGTACAGCTCACCTCCTTGGTGCTAAGCAAACGAAGACCTGCACCTCAAAAAGAAGACAGTCACATTTGGATTAGAAAAAAGTAATGATGTG